TCTTCGCCAGTCCGTTGTAGACAGTATGCCCATCAAAAAACCGCTGCGGAAGGGTTATGTGCCAATTCCCAGTGGATGAGGGAATGCAGTGTGATAACTGCAAGGGATGGTTTCACAGTATGTGCACAAACCTAACTCCTGCAGCATACAAACGCTGCTGCAAACCTCTAGCAAACTGGTTGTGCAATGACTGTTGTAGTACTACCAAACTCCGTATTACAGAAGCCACTGCCACTCTTAGCGGGACTTTAAAGCTCATGGATGCAAGAGTCTTCCATCACAGGAGAAGACTGACTACTTCTCAGACACCGAAGATGCGACTAGCGTCATCGACAAAACAGTACATGTTCCTAATCAGTCTTTGTCAATGACTGAGTGCCCTTCAGCACAGAAGAGCACTCACCACATTCCAGACACCCAGGCTGCCCCCACGACACTGGATAAGCCCTCCAGTGACAGTAACGGAAAGACTGCCACAAAGAAGAGGCGTACCAGGGGTCGTAAACCTGCAACTCAGGTCACCCAGGTACTAGTGGATCAAGCCTCATCCACACCGGTGAGTAGCAGGCAGATAAATTCTGCTACGACTAGTGAGGAGAACGCCAATGAATAGCGTAACGTGGTCTCTCGCAAAAAGCGAGATAAGGACAATACATTGGCCACACTGCCCACGAAGGACAGGAAGACATTCACGCCGCAGAGCAAGAAAGCCACGGCAAGCAAACCTGATCTCTCTGACAGGTCGCTCATTCTCCACAAAGTGGAAGAGTCACTGGCCCCCGAACCCAAGACTAGATTTGAGCATGACCTTAACTTGGTCAAGCCCCTTTTAGACAAGGTACTCCCACAAACAGTATCAGGCATTACTATACAGAGCGTATATAGGATAGGCCAAAAGCCTAACCCTACAGTAAGTCAGCCTGTACGTCTCCTCAAAGTCGTACTAAACTCTAAAGAAGAGAGGGATGCTATTCTAAGCAACTCTTATATTCTTAAGGGATCAGGCATATATGTCCGCGCCGACTTAAGCCTGGCAGACCGTGTCAAAAGACAGTCTGCGGCCCTAGAATTAAGCGAACGACGCCGAAACGGCGAAAAGAACCTTAAGATTAAGGGTTTTCGGGTTGTCCAAGTTCGCGGTTTAATGATCCCGAGACCTCTGTGGGTAGGCCGGGGAAGCACCAAACTGAATTAACAGTTTGCTACACAAACGCCCGCAGCCTGTTAAATAAACGAACTGAGCTGGTTAACATGATAGACTCCGGAAACCCGGATGTAATTATTATCACAGAGACATGGCTCACACCCGATGTCGCTGACAACGAAGTTAACCTGCCAAACTTCGAAGTGCATAGGGTGGACCGACTAAACCGCAAAGGAGGTGGCGTAGTCATCTACCTCAAGAAATGCTAAACCGTGTGTAGTATCGAAGCACTCGCTCACGAAAGTGAGTCGTGCGAACTTCTACGCTGCAGACTTAAATGCGTAGGCCAAGACATTGACCTCATTGCTATGTACCGCAGTGCTGACTGCAGAGCAGACGACATCCTGATAGAGAAGCTAGGCTCCTGGACCTCGAAATGTCGAGGTCTCGTAGTTGGCGACTTCAATGCCCCAACAGTTGACTGGACGAGCCTAACAACTCCATCCTCAGTCAACTCCTTTGATCATAAACTGCTGGAATCTAGTATATCGTTAGCTCTAGTCCAACATGTCATTAAGCCCACGCGCTATGACTCACAGCACTCCTCCTCAACTCTGGACCTAGTGTTCTCCCATGGTGAGGATGTAGATCTCATACAACATCTTCCTCCTTTGGAAGAAGTGACCATGCTGTGCTCACTTTCAAGTTCACAGCAACGGCACCAAGGGCCAAAACCCCATCTCGACCAAACGTTTGGAAAGCTGATATAAATGCAATCGTCTCAGCAGCCAACTCAGTAAACTGGTACATCAACCCAGAGTCTCAAGTAGAAGCCACATGGAACCAATTTAAACAACTTTACGCCCAAGTAACTGAACCTTTCATCCATTGGTCTGTCCCAAAGGGTCGGAAACACTGCCCTCCTTGGATAAAACGAGAGATTCGTAAGTTACTTAGACGTAAACACAAGTGTTGGAACCTGTTTGCCACACTGGAGACTTCTGAGACCAGGCAATTATATAGCACTGCTAGAAATAAAGCTATTGCAGAAATCCGCCAATCAAGGATGAAATTCGAAGCACACCTGGCTCAAAATGCAAAGGCACAACCTAAGAAAATTTTCTCGTACATGAACTTCAGGAATAAGACATCCAATGGTGTCCCAAACCTGACTATTGACAATGATACAATCGAACAAGATCAAGAAAAAGCAGAAGCAATGGCAAACTACTTCTCCCAAGTCTTCACTCAGGAGTCGTCACTGCCTATAGGATCAGCTCTGGCTGCATCAGAAGAACATGGGATAGACTCCGTTGACATCGGCTAAGGCATCGTGCTCAACCGCCTAAGGAAACTAGATGCAGGGAAATCAATGGGTCCTGATAATCTTCACCCAAGGCTTCTCAAGGAGCTATCAGCCCACATAGCCGGCCCTTTGACTACGATCTTCAAGCTTTCCCTCCAAAATGGAATGTTACCGCGTGACTGGAAAGACGCCATAGTAACCCCCATCCACAAAGGAGGATCAAGACAAAGCCCTTCAAACTACAGGCCTATCAGTCTCACCAGCACTCTAATTAAGACACTGGAGAGAATCATCAAGAAAAGCATAATGGCATATCTAGAAAATAGAAGCTTATTATCAAGAGCACAGCATGGCTTCCGAAGGAACCTCTCATGCCTGTCAAATCTTCTCACTGCAAGAGAAAGCTGGGTCAAATCCAGGGACAACAGAAGACCCGTTGACGTCGTCTTCGTAGACTTCAGCAAAGCCTTTGATAGAGTACCTCACAAAAGACTACTCATGAAGTTGGAAAGTCTTGGTATCAAAGGCAGCTTACTAAACTGGCTCAGGGAATTCCTCATAGATAGGAGGCAGAGGGTTAGGATCAACTCGAAACTCTCCTCTTGGACAGCAGTACATAGTGGAGAGCCACAAGGCACGGTACTTGGACCTCTCCTATTTATTTTGTATATCTGTAAGAGTTGGACTTGGGTTTAACTTCTACCTAACAATAACTGCTCTTACAAACTCCTTCACCGTTTATGACCTTAATTAGTACTCTGCCTACGTGCAAGTACTAAAGAACGGAATCAAAGTTAGAAGACTCGAGATGGCAAGTGTAACTGGACCGGAATTGTATTTACACAAAGAGATATGTAATTTGATAAGAAATAAAAAGTACACACTTATCTGGAGGTGAGACGGTTGTCAGCTCGTAGGGTGTACTAGGTGAAAGTACAGCGAGAGAGCGAGACAGTAACCGTACAGGAGGAACCGGAGTACAAAGCGGAAGTGGGGTTAACATGTCAGGTTGCGTTCATTCAAACAAAAGTTCAAAGGTACAATGTACACTACATATCAATGAGTTATCTCTGCTCACCGACTCCCCTATGGTCCTATACGCAGATGACTTAAAAATTTGTAGAGAGCTGAAGGGAAGCAGTGACACGTCCACGTTACAAGAGGACCTCAACAAATTGTCAGAGTGGTCCATAGAATGGATGCTCCCGATAAATGTGGCAAAATGTGCAACCATGCACATTGGACAAGCAAGCACGAGGTAGAGGGAATTACACTTCCATCAGTTCAGACTCACTTGGACTTAGGTGTCATAGTTAGCCACGACTTAAAAACTACAGCACACTGTCGCGCGGTGGCTGCACGTAGTTTCAGGTCACTATTGGCAATTCGTAGAGCCTTCACTAGAATCACCAGAGATATGTTCACCTCCTTATGTACATCTCTGGTGAGGTCAAGACTGGAAAACTGCGTCCAGGCCGCCAGCCCCTGTCTAAAAGGGGACTCACACATTCTAGAAAGGGTTCAAAGGAAAGCAACACGTATGATTCATGGAATGACTAACTTATCATACGAGGAAAGACTAGATAGTTTAAATCTCTTCTCTTTGTCAGAGAGAGGAGATTTAATCACAATGTTTAAAATTTTAAATAATGACTATGGATCTGACCTATTTTCTCTTTTCCTTCCTGCCAGATCGGAACACCTTAGAGGACATAGCAGGAGAGTTCAAAAGCCAAGAAGAAATCATATTGCTGTTGAGTACTGGTTCTCACACCGAGTCATAAACTCTTGGAACCGACTCCCAGAAGAAGTGGTGTCTGCAACCTCAGCTGATTCGTTCAAGAAGGGTTTGGACAACCACAGAAATTTACTACAAAAGGATTAACATAGGCTCCAAGCCTTCTATCCTCAACCACTAAATCTGAATCTGCCAATATCCTGACCGGAGGTTGAGCACTGTAAACGACTTCGCACTCTGTAGACTGTCCAAGGTCTCTGCTACCGTTGGCATGACAAGGGCTCAAACAGACAGATTTAATAACCAAAACTTCTATAGTATTCGTTCTGCATAAACCAACAAAAAAGCAAATCAATAAATTGATTGTTCAAATTAAGAATTATATTTCGGGACCAAATCATAGTGCGAGGTTGACTGCTTAACTAGGTACGAATCGTGCATGAATGAACGAAGGTAACACGACGGCGTGCCAAATCGCGTGGATGCATGACCATGAGCTTTCGGCTAAACAAGCTGACTTAAACAGTGACGGCCAGCATCCAGCGTTCAGTGATGAATGTTGTGACTAATAATTCTGGGGAATTACCTACCGCTACAGGATGTTTCTGATAGCTTTCGGACTTCTTTTCGTAACCAAAAGTGCAATATGGCCTACTGACATGAGCGAAAATGACTTCAGGTGCCTTTTTCACCTAATGACCTGAGCAAGCGAGTTATTTCCAGTCTAATGTTCTCAAATGAAAACTGTTGGATATTGGAATCATGGAAAAGGGTCATTATGTCTCTTGCGCTAATTACAAAGTACGCGCAAGTTTTAAATTATACGTGTACTTATACATGTACTGTCGACAGGTTAGTACATGTAGAATAATCACTGTTGTCTTTTGTTTTGTAAGTTACACATACAACATAATCCCGCTTTCTCATATTATTCCTGAAAGTGGCTGGCTCAAAAACGCACTTGAAAAATTAGAAATTTTTAACAAATAATGATTGAGCAAAACATTCTACAGAATTTAATAGCGTTCCGTCCCACCTTTACAAGAACATAATTTTCTTGGAAATAGACTTAGCTGCATGCACTGAGTGACTGAGAAATTTTATTAATGAATGTTTGGCGGCCATCACCGCCAAACAAAATGGAGAAAGTGGCCGGTATCCCCGACGAACACCACTTTCTATTCGAATAGAAAGTTTGTCGCACTAAACAAGTCACCACTCACACGAACGTGAAAGAGCTCACGTTCTGTCTGCGTCCTGTTACGTGCTAGGTAGAGTTTACAGCTAGAGTCTTCGCCTGGCTCCATGTCTGCCCACATGTTTTCATCTCCTCTTCACATGGCCTCCTCCAAGTCACCCTTCCACTGACGACCAACTTGCCGCTTCCCATTCAGTCGGGTTCCACTCGAGCAATGGCTTGTCTAGTGATGTCACTTGATGGATTGTTTCCTCAGAGTATGGCAAGCCAATCCATTTCCTTCTGCATATTTGTTTCACAATCGGTTCCTGCTGAGTTGGTTCGCTCATTGCCAGAGATCCCTCTCTGTTGCTGATCTTTTCTGACCGGCCATCTGATCTTGAGTGGTATTGAGCGAAGACAACTGTTAATGAAGGTCTGTAGTTTGTTTGAGACGCTCTTTATGACGCGCAGTGCAAGTCTCTGATCCGTATAGTGAGTAGCACTGACTTCACATTGGAGTTGAAAATCCGGATGTTATTTTTGTCTATGTGTCTGTAGTGACATGCTGCTTTTCACGTCTCTTCTGCCAGGAATTCCATGCAGCTTTCGCTCCACTCCGCTCTTTCAGGCTGTTCCAGTGTTTTTCAACGCTGGTATCTTCACTAGTGTTGGTTTGTGTTTCCACCTTTTTCCTTGTAATTGCAGTAAAGATATGTTTAGTGGCCTGATCCCTCAGTTTTTGAGTATTAAAACTTGGCTTGTACAAAAATGAGGATATATTATTATTATAGCATCACGTGCTGCGCATGCCTACCCATCGCCTACCCGGACGGGCACTACTAGCTGATATAGGTGCAGGTTGGAAAAGAGTAAGTGGTGGCCAAACAAAAACATGGCATCAATCAATCCATGAAATCAATCCATGACAGTTAAACTGAGTCAGGTAGGGAGATGCAGACTTCCGCGTTAGAGCCCTCGGGACTCTAAGAATCAATGGCTGGAGACAGACAATAGGTGACATGGCTCAAAGTCGTTGTCAATGGCTTACGCAGATGTATTCAGTCTCTGTAATCTTTCATATTCCTTTCTACCATTACTCATTCTGTTTCACTGTTATACTTGTCAAAACTCTATTGATTCTCTTCACTCATTTTCTTGTCTACCTTTGTGTGCTATTTGGAACGTGGCAACTGGAACTGCTGCACTTCGGTGCCAAGTTCAATGTTGAATCCAGCCAGCCAGCATAGCATCTAGATAAATCAATAAGAAGACATAATTTGTCTGAATCGTGTAATGTATTTACGTGCAGCACATTTCGAACAATCCAATCACACACAGACTTGTCATAGGAATATATGTGAAATTAATAAAGAATTAAGAGGTCAGAAGGACATACTCAAGGTCAAAATAACAATGAAGACCACTAAACCAAATAACAGACTGAATAGTGCATCTACCCTGACTGGTATCAAAACAAAATTTACCAAGGAAGGATTTATGTGATGACGAATTGTTTTTGAACGCATAAAGCTGGTTTTAACTTTCTAATTGCCAGCTGGGGCTTCCACAAACTTTAGGATACACCCCAAACACCTTTTTGTAGATAGGTTTAAAAGATGTGTTAACGTCAATTTTATGTTCTGTCTCTATAATATGTTTCGCAACAGAGGAGCTAGGTCTCCTCTTCTCACCACCAATGGGTTCTGAACATATCATTTGTTTCTGGAGCCATATGTTTTTAGCCAGCCCTTACTTGCAGAGATCGATGAGTCATCCCTGTGTGTGTCCACACGTACATTTAAATTGGTAAATACAGTGGGATGTGACATCATTTTCCGCATGTTCAAAGGGCTTAGATAAATATATTAGCTTCACATTCTCAATTATAATGATATTAGCTGTATAAAAAGTCTTTTAAACAACAGTGTTCAATCTTTGTCTGGTTGTTAAGCTGCTATGATGCCCCATATAGGGTAGCTTGATGTACACTTCTTTCTTTGGGGGCGAGATGTAGAGTGGGTCTTGGTGTTCTGACTACTTCATATCTCCTGATGAACTTGTCTGGATAATTGTTATCAACCAGAGTTTGTGTCAACTTCCTTTCTTCTTCATCAAGTGTGTCTTCAGTGCGTATTCGTTGGATTTTACTGAAGAGGCACCTTACTAAGGCTCTTTTGTAACGACCAGGGCAGAAACTATGGTAATTAAGATACTGTCGGTCGGTCGGTTTTCGACATAGAACTTTGCACATATGTGCGCCAGTTCAAGTCGCCACACTCCATGTAGCACACAAAGCAAGAGAAGAAAGTAGAAGAACTGCATAATATAGACAGTAAACAGAGGTGTGAGACAAAGGAATAGTAATAACCAAAGTAATAGTAATAATCATAAGTCACAAGGAGTGAATGCATCTGCGCCACTGAGAACGATTTTGAGCCATGTCACCAATTGTTTCCAACCATTGGTTTTTACCGTCCCGAGGACCCCAACCAGTCAGGAAGTCTGCACCTTCCTACGTGGCTTAGACTGACTGTTGTGGATTTCATTGACTGGTGCCATGTTTTCATTTGACCGCCGCTAGCTCTTTTCTAGCCTGACCCTATATCAGCTGACATTGCCCGTCGAGTAAGGCGATGACTAGGCATACGTAATACATATCCTAACCATCTCATTCGATGTAATTTCACAGTTTCGCCGATTGATTTCCCCGCCTTACCTAGTACTCGACGCCTAACCTGAATATTGCTCACCTTATTATACCACTTCACACGGGAGATAGAACGCAGACACCTATGATCAAAGACAGCTAATCTTTTCATGTCTTCTGCTCTCAATGGCCATGTCTCACAGCCATAAAGGAGGACGGATCGGACTGTTGAGCAGTACACACGCCCTTTGGTCGATAGTCGGATATCACGTCTACGCCAGAGACGGCGTGAACTGGTATATGCGAACCTAGCCCTCTGTATTTGTGCTGATATTTCGTCTGAGATCAACCCGTTGGGGCTGATGGTACTTCCCAAGTAAGTGAAGCGGTCAACGTGCTCTACCACTTCACTTCCTATTTCTAATCTAGGGGTCGGTGTAGTCCAATCCTGCAGCATCATCTTACATTTTACAGGGGCGAATCGCATGCCAAACATACGAAGATTGCTGCTCAAGGTGTTCAGTAGACTCTGCATTTTGTCAGCGTCCTCGCCTAGAAGGACTATATCGTCCGCATATTCTAAGTCGACGAGATTATTCCCTGGTAGCAAGTCAATCCCTGAGTCGCTGAAGTGTGTTAGAGTTAAGTCCATTAATACGTCTATGATGAAGTTGAATAGGAATGGGGATAATGGGCATCCTTGACGGACGCCACTAGTCGTCACCACTTCAAATGACAACTCGCCATAGGCCCTCACCTGGCTGCATGAGTACGAGTAGAGTGCCTTAGTCAGTGCAATGTATTTTCTCGGCATTCCCTTTACAGCCAAGCATAGCCAGAGAACCTCTCGGTCGACAGAATCGAATGCCACCTTAAGGTCAAGAAAAATAATGATTGTCAGACGCCGGTAGGAATGCCTATGTTCTAGAATCTGTCGAAGGGTGAAGATATGATCAATACACCCTCTACCTGGCCTAAAACCTGCCTGGTTTTCTCGTGTTTGTCTCCCGAGCACCACTTAGTCTACGCAGTATTATTGAGCCTAGGATTTTAGATACTATATTAGTCAAGCTAATCCCTCTATGATTATCACAGGGAGACTTGTATCCCTTCTTGTATATCGCGATGATCAGTGACTCACACCAACCCGATGGGACTTCCTTTAATTCCCAGATGCTGCCTAGAACCTCAATTAACGCAGACAGTAAACTGTCTCCACCGTACTTAAATACCTCTGGAGTCAATCCATCAGGTCCCGCTGCTTTGCCTTGTTTCAGATTAGTGGCAGCTTTAGTAACCTCAGTTAAGGACGGAGGACCTGTGTCTATATCCCATTCAGGGAGGTGTTGGATGTCCGGCAGGTTAAGTGTGGCTGTAGGCCAACTAAACTGCTCCTCATAGTGTGCTTTCCAGTGCTCCAGACGTCTATCCTGGGAGCTAATTATGGTGCCATTTTTCTCCGAGATTGTTTCGCTTATCACTTGCCTTTTGCCACCTGTTTCCCTGATAAGCCTGAATAGTTGCCTGGTGTTACCTATCGCCGATGCTTTTTCCATCTCTTTCGCCTTTGTCAACCACCATTGTTCACGGTCCTTGCGGAGACTTTTCGTAAGTTTCCTTTTGTGCAGCTTGCGCTCCTCATTGAATTCGGAGCTCGCCGGAATAAGTCTTCTAGCATCTATCAGTTCGGATGAGGCAGTCGAAATCCAATGGTTTTTACTCACCTTTGGATTTACCTTTTTCACAGCTTTTACAGCTATATCTATGGCTGACTGAATATTCTCCCAGGCTTCTTCAGGGTGAGCGCAGCTGTCGAACTCAGATATGTATTTAGCTAGTTCTTCCTCAAATAGGGACTTAGTTTTCTGATCGAGCTGGGGACGTGATGGGTTTATCGCCAGCTGTTTCCTACGTCCGTTGAGTCGTAAGCATACACGAGCGCGGACCAGAGCGTGATCGGTATCTACACACGTGTTCCAGAAGGATCGGCAATCTCCTACCGACCCACGCCAACGATAGCTTATTGCTATGTGGTCTATTTGTGTCCAGCGTTGGTTTGATGATGGGGGTCGCCAGGTCAAACAATGTCTCTCCTTGTGTTTGAAGTTAGTGCTTACAAGAGACAAATGATTATCTGAACAGAACTGTAGGAGCCGGTCACCGTTGTCGGTTCGCTGGCACGGAATTCCGTATGTGCCACCGACATTCTTCTCTGACTGACACAATTTCCCTACCTGAGCATTAAAGTCACCAGCTAAAACGACTATATCTGAGCGTTTAGCCTTTCGCAGCAAACTAGACAGATTTTGGTAGGACTCATCCTTCGTTTCATCCGGACTGCAGTCAGTGGGGGTGTAGGCGGAGATTACGAAAAGGCATCGGCGAGTAGTGCAGTCCTTTCTCCTTTTCACTGATCCGTTCAGACGGACAGCACACATTCGGCTATCTACCGGGATCCAGTCAAGTAATGTCTTTTCTGCCCTAGTACTCAAAGCTATCCCAACACCAGCTAATCCTCGTGAGCTAGCCGTCGCATCTCAAGGTGAATTTTGCATATTCATCCTGTTGGCCAGGTGGGGTTAGGTGAATAACCACACTTGGGTCTTGTATGCGTGTTTCTGAAACACAACATATATCAATGGCTCGGGATGCCAGAGTCTTGGCTAGTGATGCCTGTTGTCCTATTTGACAAAGTGTCCTAACATTAAATGCTCCTATATGAAATTGGTGGCGTGGCTTTAGGAGACTATCGGTGGTGGCTTTTTGGCTTCCATCGTTATCAGTGCACACAGAGTGAAGAGGAAGTGAAGAGCCATTAAGTAGAGGAGGTTGCATTAGTAGAAGGAAGGCAAGATAATAGAGATGAAGATCAAGACAAAGGAGAGTGAGGATTAGAGAGGTTTCGTGTGCACTGCCCAGGTAGGTTTTCTATAAATAGATCTTTATACTGACCTATCAAGCCTTCGACTAAGCCATATGTCTAGGAAAGATAAACAATTATCTTCCTCTTCTACAGATGTAAGTGATATGCTATTCTGAACTTCATTCATTCGATTTAAAATTGAGGTGGCAGAACAAGACTTATCACTGATTATTACAATATCAACATACCTTCTGTAAAGTGGCATATTTTCGATTAAATCCTCCGATAAACTCTCAATGTACGATATATAGACAACTACTGAAAGGGTCCTTAACTGACTTCCCATAGCAACACCATCAACTTGGCGGAAACAATCCCCTTCAAATGTAAACCTAACATTGCTAGTACATAAAAGTAACAAATCCCTTAAATCAGATATAGGGAACGGGATGAAAAATTGTGTGTGGAATTGTAATCACACAAAATGTCAACTGTTTTGAGTAAAGGCACATTAGTGAATAACGGGGTTACATCAAAAGAGTACATATTCTTGTTCATAATATTAATATCGTCAAGAAAATTAACCAATTCAAATGTATCTTTTAACACACTTATAGAATTGTGTTTTGACTGGATGCCATACTTCTACTAACCATTTAGCAAGTTTATGCCTTGAGGATTTGCACATTGACAAAATAAGACGTAGAGGATTATTGGGTTTATGTATTTTTGGCAAACCATACATATGTGGGAATTTACATTCTGATGGTTTTAAAGAGTCAAATTTATCTTTACTTATAGCATTTCGGTCATGGAGCTTCAATAGATTAGCTGTCACTGTGCCCTGCAACAAGTGAATATCTTCTGAGGAAGGATTTCGACTAAATTTGCTTTTATCATGAAGAATAGACATCATTTTAGATTTGTAGTCACTTTTATTCATAATGATGACTCCAGAACCTTTATCAGGTTTCGTAATAATTATATTAGAGATTTCCCGTAGCTCTTTCAAGGCTTTGATTCAGACAAATTACGTCTTCTTATTGCTTTGTCTAAATTCATAAAGGGAACTAATTGTTTTAAACAATGTAAGTAGTTTTGACATCTCGTTACGCGTAGTGAAAGACATCATCTAGAAATTTCTGCAAATAGGATAGTTATTACTCATATTCCTTCAGCTTCCAAATGGCTGTAACAAGCCGACAATGGATCACAGCATTCATTATACGTCGTCGTGAAAATAGTCATTTTCCCTTGATTTTTCCCTCCACACCACAACTTTCTCAGTGGGATCACGTGAATAATTTATCAGATATAGTTCACGATCGCAATTAATTAGTATCTGCTGTGCAACAATTTCTTTGTCTTTTACTATTGAATAGCAACATAATCTTATTATATGTTCCATCTAATTGTAACAAAAATGCATATTCCATCTTATTGTGTGGTTCTTAAAACTTGCATTTAACCAAATTACTTTACTTTTTAGCTCGTTATTACACTTCTGTGTTAATGTTTTAATCCCATAATGAAATTCACTAATCTGGACAGAAAAATACAGCTGACGCTTGATTGTGGCCAAAAAAATTTTGGTAGCACCAAATGTAATCAGTGTCAAATGATATACACAACTGGTGATAAAGAAGACATTAAGGCGCACAAGAAATACCATCGATCCAAATTATTTCCAATTGTCCGAGTAAGATTTCTAGTTATTAGCGTGAATGTGAATCTCTGTATGGTTTCTAACAGTTTTCCGTAATTAATTTTAAAAAATACTCCATTTTATAATTAAAGAGACTGAAATAGCAGGTAGCTTTTTAAAAAATATATTGAAAATCCTTTTGTCAAACACTTCGTAATTTGCACTTGTTATTGTTACGAAAATCCAGTATCTCACACAGTTCAATGACAGTTTTGATTGAATCTAAAAATTAGTATTCATTGCTGCTGTAAAGAAGAGGGGAGCTTCGGAAGTGTAAGAAAGAGGTTCACACATGAACATACTTCTTTCTTTATTCGATTCTGTTTACTTTTTTATATATAAAAGAGTGAAGAGAAATTGCCACTAACTTCATTTTCTTTTTGTGATATGTGCGATTACACCTTAAGGTAATTAATCCCATGGTATCCCAACAGAAGCCACTGATCCCTAGCCTCCAAAGCCTCAGGATGGTCGGGGGTGGGTGCCTTGCGCTGTGGGTTGGCCACCCCTCCGCACACCTCTTGAAATGCTCCCATATGACCGGGCGTCTTACATAGCCTCTCCTGAGGAAGTCCTACTCACTGCCTTCACGTGGCGGAGGTGTTTTTCATCAAAGTGAGAGGGCGAAAGCGGATGCCCGGCGCTCTTCACCGGGTTGACTGTCCATTGGATGACAGTCTAGGGGATATGGCTAAACTCTGACTCCAAACCTCCAACGACTGGCGTATGAAGCTCACCGGCAGACGTATGGACAAAGGGCTTGTGGATGTCCTGGATGTCTGGCCCCATTCAAAAAGGCGTATGAACCGAACTCCGGTCACCGGCTGCCAATAGAAAGTGGACTCCCTACTCCACTCCTACTGCCTTATAGGTCACACTTGGTTGTGTAAAGGCTACAGCTGCACTCTCAAACAAAAGGCCGAGCGATTCTGGGGACATCACTCGTACCAAATTCCCATGAAACTTCATGAACTCTCTTCATCAGATCGCCGCGCCTGGGCAGCGATGATTCGAGATGTTCATGAAGCCGGCTCATCCTCCCGTAGGAGATAGCCGAAGTAAAGTAAGTAGTTTACTTCATTTAACAGCTTTGTATTGTAAATTAATCGCTCGCCAGCTAGTTAATCCTGATGTTACTGAATGAATGATAAAGTGTGTATAGACACTGTGTCACTGAGTTTTCAACTGCTGCACGTCTGTACTGCCATGTCACTGGCAGTCCCCAGCCATTTTTTTTAGACATTCACTAACTTACGTGGCTCAAGTCAAATTTTCATCCATTGATACCAGGTTTGACCGTCCCTGTTATCTAATCCTTATTACATGCCTAACGTCGGATGAGAGAATTCTTTGTGATGATATTAGATGGTTGGAGGCAATCGGCAGGAAGCCTTGGACCTAGGTTTCGTGCTAGTTGGCACTCGTCAGCAAGGCGTATCTGCAACCTTGAAGGAACTCATGTCCCTCCTGAGATTCGAACCCGCGTTACCCAGTGCTGCAGTCAGAGACATTACCACTGAGAGAATTCTTTCCATGATGTTAGTACAAGAACTGTAATCGTTCTAAGATAAGTGCGGTGGGGCAACGCAAAAAAACTACTCAACATTAATAGCTAGAAACCAATGTATACAAATATTTGCTTCCATATTAAGTTCTTCACTAATGAATTCTAAATTAAGTTCAGTCAAGGGAACTCGCGAACAGAGTTATGTCTCAGGATCATTCAGAAATGTTGATTTGTCTGTGATTATATTCATGTGGTACGCATTTCTACTTAAATTTGCTAGATTTATCACAGTTAGACAGTATTTTTCTTAATGGATAACGTTTGAAACATCACATCAATTAGTTTTGATAATCATGTAAGAAGCATGGTAATTTGGCGACATTTCTCCATCGTACTGAACGGTATGCAGTATTCGCAAATTAATAAAGCTAAAGTATACGGTCTGTTCAAGTGAGAGACCTTTCCCTATAAGTGATCATTAAATTACATGTTTGCCTATCAATTTATTCAGCTTTCATATCTTTCTTTATTTGTAGGTACCAAGAGGTCACCATGAACATATTATCCAGGAAAATTTTGATGGTTCTCGTATTGTGGAGCTTTTGACTGATGGTCGACTCGGACAAAGCTTCTATGAGAAAATAGCTTCGCTAATGAATGATGACCTTGGCTATGACCGACCCTTGGCAGATAGTAAATCTTTGTCTAGTAATCAGACAGGGACTAGTCTGCAGTCTGATTGGCGCGTTTTTGTTTACATCATTGACCGAACTCAGCAAGTGGTAGGCTGTTGTGTTGTCGAAGAACTAACCGAAAAGAAATTATCTGCCAAAGGTTACAAACTAAATCGTTTAGTTGGTGGACGAGAAACTCTCTTATCTTGGAGTGTTCAAAGTGTTGACAAAAACCGGACTACTAATTATAACTCAGTTCCCTCATATCCTGATGTTTCCTCACCTGCAGATCTAAACGGACCAATATGCGGTGTTCGTAGACTATGGGTGGAACAGAAACACAGGCGGAAAAGAATAGCTACAGGCTTATTGGATGCTGTTTTACAAAATTTGATATACAGTTTTCCACTCTCCCGTACACAAGTTGCTTTTGCTGAACCAACCGCAAACGGCGCAGACTTCGCTGTGTCTTATGTAGGCCGTGAAGATTTCCTATTATACTGACTTTCAGTTTTTATGATGAATAACAATGCATCAATAATTTTTTAACTGTTTGAACATTTATTAGAAGTTTTTAATGTCAGAATACTGTATTAATTTACTTCGTTTATATACCAAACTTCCCTCTGTTAATGAGATCATGTGTTAAACTGAGTTCTTTCGGTATAAAAACTAGAAGATTTAAAATTTTTTTATTTATTTATTTTTATTTACAGCTTGATTCCACACCGTATTTTCAGTACAAGTGTGGAATTTTCAGCATGGATATCGGTAGCCCGAATTCAGGCCGACCATAGATATCGGGTGTGCGCCGGCAGGGGATCGAACCCCGGACCATGTGCATGGTCGGCGAGAGTCCTAACCACTGTGCCACCGACGCACATCAACTGTCTACATTGTTACTAATACTGCCAGCTAAAACCGTTGAATTACTAGGAGGTTCAGTAATACATGGTGATGATTAGTGTACTCTATGGACCATATCTTGTACTGATTAATCTTGATGATACACATCGCTGGCGTATTCAATGTTGGATGGGTAGTAACAGTTAGCTGGAATTGGGAGATATATGGTTTCGTCTCAGATTTTTCCAGAATGCTTTCGGGTATTCATGCTTATCCAGACAGCTTTTCCAGAAGGAAATCTTCGCATTCGCTTCAGCAAGCTTGACGGAGTTGAGTTTTACCCGTCCCCCTGTTTATTATGGCATTCTAATTCCTAATTGTAATTTTTATTAATTTGACCCTTAACCGGAAATTATTCTAGAACTTTCCCATCCATTTGATATAAATACACAAATGTACAGCCTAGATGATGACTTCGTCGAAAAGAAAATTCTCTTCGCTGCATCTGTCTTTTTATTCCCTATAATCAAATATGTATATTCCGTGATTTCAAAACGAGCAAGGACCGTTCGACGGTAAAGGAACTGAACAAGTTTCTACGTTTGTCCGTCAAGCTTGCTGAAGCGAATGCGAAGATTTCCTTCTGGAAAAGCTGTCTGGATAAGCATGAATACCCGAAAGCATTCTGGAAAAATCTGAGACGAAACCATATATCTCCTAATTCACGCACGCTCAGAAGATATACCCAGTTAGCTGGATGTCTCCTTTAAAACTTCCACCTGCATGTCATCTAATTAGTTATTCAGCTATTCTCGATACAACCTAACAAGAAAAGAATCTATGTCTAGAACTTCTCTCTGTTACTTCTACCACCTAGGGAGTATCATATCAACAGTGTAATGTCCATTTGTAAAAAATTTTATATTTGTAAAGTCTCAGCGAGATTGAAATGAGTAATTCCAACGTTTCGTTCGGCAATCTGGTCCGAACTTCTTCAGGGAAATTAATCGAAATTAACATTACATAGGTTTATATATAAAAAGGAACATCATTTGTTTCTAAATATTTTTACAAATGTCTACTTCTCACTCGGCGCCCAAATATTTTAGAACTATTCTGTCAAATCTTGACGACAGTTCATTTGAATTTGGAGTGTAATGTCCGTTTATATAAAAAACATAAGTTAAATTAAAATGTCAGTGAGCTTTATATCTGCTGTATATATTTTTCTCTCAGTATAAATACATTGAAATCTAACAAATCAGTAGTACGAAAGCTATAAGCTTGAGGTTATAAAAATGAGCAATCACACTTTATACTTTTTCCTAAGGCAATACGAAGTTTGACACTTAATCAAATCACAGTTAGAAATGTTATATTTGTTAGTACTACTGTAACAACAGAAGACAAGGGCCAGGCAACAGAACGTTTATTACGAAAAATCAACACATATTTATAGACTTTGATGTACATTATTGTAGGTTAATGTTAGTAGAAATACAGGCTGTTGATTGGTTGTTTCTCACACAAAGTTAACCTTGCATCTCTTGTGGCTGTGTCAGTTCATCTATATGTTAACTGTATCCGCCTGTCCATCTTGACCTTTGACCTCAATTACTGTCAACCAATTTGGCTAGCAACCATCTATCACCACAGTCCTACTAGGTAAACCTCACCTTATTAAAGAGCTTCAAGGTTGGAAAAAAATCCATAGTGAAAGTGCTTTTATCACCTCAGTGTGAACAAATCGATTTAACACTGATGACTGACTGGTTTCAACATAGAACTTTGCACAAAGTATGACAGCTCGAGTTGCCAAACTCCATGTAGCACAAAAAGGGATTCCGTAGGACGATAATAAGAAGAAATGTAAGTGAAAAGGAATTGTACGTCAGAGATGACGTGATCTGGCTAATACCACACGAGCCTTTTGTATCCGTGGTGAGATTTCGTCAGCGGTCAGTGCATTAGGTATGATGCAACTTCCTAAATAAGCGAAGTAGTCAACATTTCACTCCATATCTTTAAGTTAGCAGTAGGTGCAGTTAAATCCTGCAGCATCATTTTCATGAGTGAATCGCACGTCAAACATCCAAAGATTTCATTCTCAATGTGTTTAGAGGACTCTACATTTTCACGTAGGAGGACAATATCACCCACATACTCTAAGTCGACATGACTATCCCCTGGTAACTAGTCAATCTCCAAGTCATTTAGGGTCACATCCATTAATAGATCTATAATGAAATTAAACAAAGTGGGGACAGTGGTCATCCCCAACAGATACCACTGACTGTTATCATTTCAGATGAAAACTTTGTAAGCTATTACACAGCTATGTGAGTTCGAGTAGTGTGCCTTAATTAGTGAGATGTACTCTCTGGAACCGCTGAGAACGGTGAAGTTATATAAGTAGAGTGTGTCTTAATGAAAGGCAATATGTCTGCCACTTAAAAGATGCATAAGGTCTTAACCTTTAACCGCTGAATTAGTAATATTTTATTCAGCATAAATGGAAGGAACTTGAAAGAAAAAACCTCTTTTACCTACCTGGGAAGCATCGTTACAACTACAGGCGGAACTGACGAGGATATCAAAGCCAAAATCGGAAAAGCAAGACAAGCTTTCACTACTCTCAAGTCTGTGTGGAGGTCAACAGCACTCAGCATCAAAACGAAGATAAGATCCGGATTTTCAACTCCAATGTGAAGTCAGTCAGTGCTACTCACGATACGGATGGATCAGAGACTTGCACTGCGCCTCATAAAGAGAATCTCAAACAAACTACAGACCTTCATTAACAGTTGTCTTCGCTCAATACTCAAGATCAGATGGCCAGAAAAGATCAACAGCAGAGATCTCTGGGAGCGAACCAACCAGGAACCGACTGTGAAACAAATAGGCAGGAATAAATGGAGATGGATTGGCTGGCCATACTCTGAGGAAACCATCAAGTGACATCACTAGACAAGCCATTGCTCGAGTGGAACCCGAAAGGGAAGCGGCGAGTTGGTCGTCAGTGCGAGGGTGGGTGACTTGGAGGAGGTCATGTGAAGAGGAGATGAAAACGTGTGGGCAGACTTGGAGCCAGGTGAAGACTCTAGCAGAGAACCGAAGGCGATGGAGACGCACGGCTGAAGTCCTATGTTCCTCTAGTAACTAAAGGAAACACTAATAATAATAGTATATTGAGTGTATTAGATATACCCGAACGACTAAGTGAATTTATTCCAAGAATGAACAAAAGTTATTCTATAAGTACACAGTAGCACAACCACCTTGTAAGTGTCTTGTCTCAGATAACCTGGTTCCCTTTATATTTTTTTGAAAATTTATCAAATTACTGAATGCTTACGACAAGAAATAAAATTTCAAAACTAAGCTCATTTCCAAAGTACGCAGTTCAGTGTGAAAATCCTTCGGAAACCAAAAATAGTCAGATCATAATACATGACACACTGCTTGACACTATAAATAGCTATCAAGGGAACTAAAAATCTTTTTGATAGGTGTTCAGACATCAAAAACGCCCGTCACCTTAACGATTTTAGAAATTTTTAACGGATGACACCGTAAAATTATAAAAGAACTCAACAATCTCAGTAATAATCATCGACCTTTCTTTATTTTTTTAAAAAAAACTATTAGTCTGGATAGTGTTATTTGAAAAACGAGGTTTATCTGAAAAATGTGACCACTCGAATTGCAAATTTCACTTCATCACCAGTTAGCCAGAATTCGAGTGATTTAAAATGAATCGGATCGCTTAGCCGAAGTTTAACCGGCTCCACCTGTGATGCGTGGAATCCCAAACAACTGTCTTCTGTTCAGATCACTTCAAGCTGACTGGCAAGTACTACTGTTTGACGTGAGTGTTCTCCGACTACTCATAGTATACACCGAAATACTGACCACGCCAACCAGTCAACTTTTGATCATGTACCGAGACTGGATTCTCACGACTGTATCTGTTGCCTAAAAGTTGCGAATTAAAAGGTACCACATTGTATATCAGACTGTTTGTTAATTAGTTTAAACAAATGCGTTTCATCTTTTAGTGTTTTGTTGCTCAGGTGACACAAACTCGTAATAGAGCAACAACTGTATTGCACATACTGGTATATGACTGCTGACATACACTACCTTCCACTAAATTCAGAACTATCTGTCTCCGATATAACTGTAACTACTTAGAGTCGTAACGCTGTTCGAAAATAAACTTCTTTTGATGATATGTGTAACACGCCTCCATCACTGCGAAACTGGGTATACATTTTACAATCCCTAGTTAGTTCATAAAACAAATGACCTCCTAAGATAAACGATCCTCGAACTATTTGCACCATCTCGCCAAATCATGTAACTTTTAAAAGGTGATATCTGTACGTGTGTGGCCTTTATCGGTTCCAAGAGAATGTGGGACAAATGATCAATTACGAAGGATGACAACCTAAAATAATCATACACTTCTGCGCAACATTTTGCATCAATTTCTCTGACGAGCTTACCAATCTTTGTCTAATGACGTAAAAAGTAGACAGTAAAAGCTACCTCAATTTTCTTAAAACACAATTAGTTATTAGGAAGGTATAAGTCAGCAAAGCGACCTCTTTTCGTAACTTCACTTCAAAGCTGCTATTAATATATACAATGTTACTTGACGAGTAATAACAAGGCGTGAAAAATAGTGGATAACCTTACGTAATCGAAAGGGTTAACAACTAATCAAATCCCTACAAACAAAATCTTGAAAATTAGTCTGAGGCTCGACAGTGACTAGCTGCAGGATAAAGTTGCCCGGATTCCTAGTGATAAATCGTAACCAGTAGGGTCCACCCGGTCGGGAGTAAGGACAAATACTCGCCGATGATAGTGGCTGGTGTTTGCGCTAAAATCACGAATTGGTAGGAGTTAGAATTCATGGGCTACTGAGTTGGGTCCCGGTAACGAGCTTGCCTTGTAACCGGAAAGTCGTGGGTTCGATACCCGGTGGGTGCACATTGCCGATGGGTTCCAAACTAGGAGAAAACAGCTGTCCAGTACTCCCTGGTTTTCAATGGCACTTTGGCTGGATTCAACATAGAACTTCGCACCGAAGTGCAGCAGTTCGAGTTGCCACGTTCCAAATACCACACAAAGGTAGACAAGAAAATGAGTGAAGCGAATCAATAGAGTTTTGACAAGTATAAGAGTGAAACAGAATGAGTAATGGTAGAAACGAAAATGAGACTGAATATTACAGAGACTGAATACATCTGTGTAAGCCATTGACAACGATTTTGAGCCATGTCACCTATTGTCTGTCTCCAGCCATTGATTCTTAGAGTCCTGAGGGCCTTAACCCGGAAGTCTGCATCTCCCTACCTGACTCAGTTTAACTGTCAGGGATTTCATGGATTGATTGATGCCATGTTTTTGTTTGGCCACCACTTACTCTTTTCCAACCTGCACCTATATCAGCTAGTAATGTCCGTCGGGGTGGGGGAGGCGATGGTTAGGCATGCGCAGCACGTCACCTAGCCATCTCAATCTATGTAACTTTATAGCCTCGTCGATTGATTTTCCCTCTTTGCCCAACACTCTACGCCTAACGTCAACATTACTTACCTTATTATGCCACCTAACGTGAGAAAGAGATCGTAGACATCTATGATCAAAAACAGTCAACCTTTTCATGTCTTCAACTCGTATTGGCCATGTTTCAGAGCCATAGAGAAGGATCAATGGCACTCTAACTGATATCAAACTTGAAATCTGTTAGGTAATGAATAATCATTCGAAAATAATAGACAGAAGACGAGAAAACAAAGGAGTGAAAATGGGTTACAATAACTAAAAAGGACTACACTAGTTTATCATAGGACACCTATCGATTATTAACAAATGACTACTCATCACTTAACTGTATATATATATATATATATATATATATATATATATATATATATATATATATATATATTCCTAAATAACTGCACAGCTTTGAAGTGAAGTTACAATAAAAGATTTCTTTGTTGGCTTATGCAATCTTAACTATATGACAAATGAAATATTACTAAGGGAAAACTGTTACTACACTATGTGCGGGGTGAAGGTGTACAACGACTTCACAAAATCAAAATACAATTTGTAGAAGAAAAATTATTTATATATATATAGATAAAAATTATGGTTGCATAATAAATAAAGTAGCTTAACAATTATATATTATTAATCAGTACATACAATATATTATTTATAGGAAGGGTAGAAATTAAAATAATGCCAACTTAAAGTTAAAGTTATATATTTACATTTATTACAATGATATCTTCTCACCGTCGAACTGAGATATAGCAAAGGCCAATTTGTGTTTCTATACAGAAAAAAAAGGGAAATTCAAAGGGAAAGCAGTGAATTCTTGGAAAAGAAAACAACTTTATAGACAAGTGACCCTCCCTCCCCTACACACACGCTTCTTCTGTTTTGTATTAAAAGGCGTGCATAAACATTTACAAGTACTTCATATCACACTTAAGCGGCCATACAAAATGCGTTAGTTCATACGATTGAACATTCAGCTAAAAAGATGGAACACCAAAACAACCCACCTACAGAAAGCCAACATGCAACGGACAACTAATAAACTCCAATAGTTGAGTGCCTCTATGTACATAGCGAAACCTTAACTGTTCACTGTGCCAAAATTTGCTGCCTTTCCACTGTGGAAGAGGAGCCGAACACTTTGAAAACATTCTCCTTGAAAATGGTTGATCAGAAGGTTTCATGACAAAATCTATGAAGCCTAAATGAATAAAACCTCCCACACTTACTTCCCTACCTGAATCTATAATTCAATAGAGACTCATATGCAGAAATAATGAGAAACCGTCTATTCCACTCAATAAAGAAAACTATCTTAGTGGCAGAACTTTCACCAGCCTTTCCATATTAGTTTTTTCTATTAGATGTATCACACATTGAAACAGTATTATTTACTGGATGACGTTTCGGACAAAATTTATTGTTCATAATCATATCAATTATAATCACACGACTTTTACACATATATCAATTTGACTAGCCTTCGCTACAAAACCAATGATTCTCATGAACGTGAAGGATAAGCTATAACTCCTGGTCTCATCGATGTGTGTCTATCAAAGCAATTGCTCCTGTAGGAGTAGATATGTTGGCCGCACTCAGCGTTCGCTATCTACACGTATCATCGAACACTTACCTTCATGGTTTTATAACGGAGAAAAAAACTCCTCCCTAATGCTGTCCTGGAACACCCGATCGAATCTGGATATCAAGCTAACTCGCAAACCAACTTCAAAGTCATCTACAGAACACGTGGGAATCTTGCCAAAGGAGTATAAATCAGACTTCTACAAGCCGCAGAAGCGATGGCAATTCACATGTTAAATCTCGAGTTCTGCACACAAGAGAAGTTTTTTGAAGTCACTAAACACCTACAATGGATCTAATCTGTCTTAACACCGGATACATATATTTTGGTTTTTTAATTGTATTACGCCCCCTGTCCCCACCGATGAATTTCTACCCCCTTATTATCACTGTGGTTAACTTGACTCTCGTTCAATTTTAGCTGAATCCTACCCAATCCCATCAACTATATTACGTGCGTCGGTGGCACAGTGCTTAGGACTCTCGCCGACCATGCACATGGTCCGAGGTTCGAACCCCTACCGACGCACACCCGATATCTATGGTCGGCCTGCAAAATTTGGGCTACCGATATCCACGCTGAAAATGTCATACTTGTACTGAAAATACGGTGTGGCATCAAGCTGTAATCAAAATTAAAAAAATAAATAAAAATCTTATTTCAATTTCTGTCCGATTATCACTTTCTATACTACTTCGTTTGTTATATGAAATTTACAACTTAAATGACACATATTTGGAAATATGTCTTCTGTTGCAGAGGGGATATATGCGTCGGTGGCACAGTGGTTAGGACTCTCGCCGACCATGCACATGGTCCGGGGTTCGATCCCCTGCCGGCGCACACCCGATATCAATGGTCGGCCTGAAATTTGGGCTACTGATATCCATGCTGAAAATTCCATACTTGTACTGAAAATACGGTGTGGAATCAAGCTGTAATCAAAATAAAAATAATAATATGTGATCATACAGCTTGAGAATATCACTGAAGAGAATACCTCTTCACTGACCGCCTTTTCTTTTTCACTGAGTGTGGTTCAACTGACAGTTGCAGCGAGACGCGTGAATGACGAATTGTCACATCAAATCGCGAAGGTTCTTTTCAAGTCTCAAAAACGTAGCTTGTTACAATGAAGGACAGTTAGATTTACTTGAAGTCACAATCTAGTAGACAAGACTGCATTTTATCACTACTCTCTAACAAAAACGACAACAACAACAACCACGAGATGGTAAATACCCAAACACTAATGAGCACCTTCTACTGGTTGAAAATTTTAAACGTCTATACTAGAAAGTAAGTAAAATCTCTAAAACACAAACAATGCCTATTTTAAATTCTTAAACTCACTTTCACAGCTGCTAAAATAAACTCAATATCTGATTGAATATCTTCCTCAGGAATTTGATATATAAGTTTTGGAGTGGTTGGAGATAGGGTAACTGGTTTCCTTCGAGGTTCAAGATTTGGGCTAGGGAGATAAATATCAGATTGATCTGAAGATATTGAAGATTCTTTATCAATATCTGTAATACGCCCAAAAAAGCCATAAATATATGCAGAGTGAATGTCAGCTTATATAAAAAAATAATGTAAGCCTAAAATAAGTATGAATGATTAATATTTATCGTAAATGTTAAGCTTATGACTGATTATTTATAGTTTTTAGCAAATAATATCTATGTCGTATGTCACTGACAAGATTTATAATTAGTATATGGACAGAGATATTAAATATGCGCCAGGCAACAAATCGTTTATTGAGGAAATCAAGAGGTTATTTATATATTTTTATGTATATTATTATTATTCGTAATTATTAACACAGAAACAGCGTCTTTTGATTGACTGTTTTCTCGCTGAAAGTTAATCTGTCATCACTTTGTGGCTGTTTCTTTGACGGTCACACCACCATACGCCTGCGAATCGTATCCGTCCACGCAAAGTTTTTGCTCTTGTTTTTTTTCTCATGACCAAGATTTGGGACGTAAATTGCTGTCTACTACCAATTTTGGCTAGCAGACAGCTCTCTTGCCACACACACACACACACCATCTGCAAGAATATCGAATCGCGGAGAGGTGGATGCTTGTGAAACAACATGGTAAACGTGACAGGAATACAAACAAGCACAATATCAAATTGTGAACCATACATGGTAGACATATTTAGCCTATTTCTGTACACTGAGCTGCCAATAGATAATTCAGTTGCTGCATACACTCTTGTCTTCTGCCGTATAATACACTGAGACTGGTACTGTAATGGTAGAGGACTTGGTAAAGGAATGTTTATTTACAAAATGATATCTCTATAGAGCCAAATTATGTACACCTTATCTTCAACGAAGGTGCGTCGGTGGAACAGCGGTAGAATGCTCGCCTACCACGCAGGTGGTTCGGCGTTCAACCCCCCCCCCCGGACGCACTCCTTTACCTCGCTAAGCCAGTAATAAGATTGGTAAAGAGGGAAGGTTGGACATGAGGCTAGCACAGCCTCATCCCGCAAAAATAAGCACCACTGCTACCGAAACTTCAAGCCTCTAGCTTGAAACCCTATGTTCTACTGGGAACGTACAGGAATAAAAAATATATCTTCAACGCACGATTTGCACAGCTCTTCCGTGATGTGCTACGTCTAGCCTTCATATCGTGTTTCTTTGTGGTCCTTTCACGTTTCTCCGCAACGCTGAACAATTTGCTTTCTCTGACGTGAAACCTATCTCCCTGCTATGTGATATTTTTACGCTGATGAACGTCTCTTTACATACTACTGATAAATCTTATCAGTAGTACACGCCACAGTATGTCTTAGCCAAGAGTCGAATAATTGACTGACTAACTGGTTTCAATGTAGAACTTTGCACAGATGTGCAGCAGTTCGAGTTTCCACACTTCATGTAGCACACAAAGCAAGAGAAGAGAGTAAAGAGCGATAGTAAACAACAGTTTGAGGAGAAAAGAATAGTAATATAGAAAAACAATAGAATTTTATTGCATGGAGGATTTCATCATGAGCTGACATCAGTTACAGAACCACTGGAAAACCTGAGAGTACTAGACAGCTGTTTCGTCCTAGTCTGGGACTCTTCATCAGTACGCACCCACCGGGATTCGATTCGAGGGCCTTCTGGTTACAAGGCGAGCTCGTAGGCCATTGAGCCACTGGGACCCGGTCCAATGGTCCTTGAATTCTAATTTCTGCCAATTCACGACATAGCGCGACCATTTCGCCATGTCTTCTTCCCCATGCCTCATCTTCAACCTGCTGTACCCTACTGGGGACCAGTGGGTGCGTACTAATGAAGAGTCTCAAACTAGGACGAAACAGCTGTCCAGTACTACCAGGTTTTTCAGTGGTTCTCTAACTGATGTCAGCTCATGATGAAATCCTCCAACCAATGAAACAAAAAACCCGTACAAAACCAATACTTGAGAATTTTATGGGATGTCACAAAGAGTGGATGCATCTGCGCCGCTGAGGACGATTTTGAGTGGAATAACTACAACTCCATTAATGAAACTGAGTAAGAATTAGTTAATACACACCTCATGTTCATCAAGGATAAAACCTAGATACTGTATACTACTACTACTACTACTACTCCCAATTTGCTAATTACAAAGTCCATATTCATTGAGGGTAAATATATTTAGTTTTCCTTCCTCTTGAATATTTCCGTTTATTGTACTTTAGTTGGATTTCTTTTCTCCACCTTGATGAAGCGTGACAAGTTGGACTGTTGCCCCCAAATTCTTTTGAACACAGTTCCCAGAAAAGGTCTTTTACGTTCCAGGCCAAGAGCCAGACACTCTTATTGTGTGAACGCTGGGTGATACTAAATAGTTACCCAGACTGAAGTAGATGGAGCGGGGTTCGAAACTGAAACCCACTGAATGAAAGCCGGGAACTTCGGCCAGTGAGTCACTTAGCTACACCTAAATGCAAAGTTCTACTCTCTGAAGCAACTGCAGCATGCAAAGAGATGTGAATCATGATACAGTAAAGCTAACAAGCAAATATGAATATACGTGGGGGGGGGGGGGGGGAAGAAACTGACACCTGAATGAATAACTTTATACTATGTCAACGATAGTCTATAACTATTGATTCAATAAACTGAACTGAACAAAACTCAATAAAACTTCAGTTGACTTCACTAGATGAGGAAGGCGTTTATTCGGCATAAGCAGTAAATGTCTTAGCTGCTTAACTATAAATACATTTTTGTACTTACTTTTAGGAGTTTTATATCCACGAACAATACGCTCATATTGAAGTTTACAGATACTCTCTTGAAGACGTACACGAATCTGTTCTTCAGCTGCTAGAAGTCGCTCCTTGGCATCACATTCAACAAGTAGTAATTCGTTGTCCACCTCTTTATTGACTACTTCCACAGCGAATCGCATTCTGTATTTTGCCACCTTCAAAAAAACAAAAATACAAAAGAAGGACTAGGCTTTGTATTGAGAGACAATACAGAAAGTCACTGAATCACAAAGTAAAGTAAAAACTCACTTTTGATGGGGTACACACAGAATGAGTCACGGGTTTATTTGGATTACCACTTCTGAATAGTGTTTGTTGTTGACCACAAAAACACACACACAGACGACTAAGTGGCCCAAAGCGCTGCCGCTCGTGACTCCAAAGTCGGCGAACATTCTGAAGTGTTGTTTTGTATTCTGTATACACAATAAAACAAACTTCAGGTATAATTGAAAAGTAATGGAATCAAAATCATTACTTTTTATTTCATATTTCACAAACTACCTATTTTAAACTATACACAATTTCCCTTAAACTAAATTAATGGGGCGTCTCTACCATCATTATTTTTGGGCGCACATCTCCTTTCCCCCCAATTCATATTGACAAGCTTGCATAGCAGTCAAGTTTAAAATCATACGATGCTGTTTGAAATTCAAATATCTTAGTACAGTACCATATCTCTGACGAAATCTCAGCACGAATAGAGAGGGCTAGTTTCGCATATGCCAGTTTACGCCGTCTCTGGCGTAGACGTGATACCCGACTATCGACCAAAGGGCGTGTGTACTGCTCAACAGTCCGATCCGTCCTCCTTTATGGCTGTGAGACCTGGCCATTGAGAGCGGAAGACATGAAAAGATTAGCTGTGTTCGATCATAGGTGTATGCGTTCTATCTCCCGTGTGAAGTGGTATAATAAGGTGAGCAATATTGAGGTTAGGCCTCGGTCGAGTGCTAGGGAAGGAGGGGAAATCAATAGACGAGACTGTGAAATTACATCGACTGAGATGGTTAGGACATGTGTTACGTATGTATGCCTAGTCATCGCCTTCCTCGACAATGGGCAATGTTAGCTGATATAGGGTCAGACTGGAAAAGAGCTAGCGGCGGTCAAGCGAAAACATGGCACCAGTCAATGAAATCCACAACAGTTAGTCTAAGCCACGTAGGAAGGTGTAGACTTCCCGGTTGGGGTCCTCGGGACGGTGAAAACCAATGAAGGTTGGAAACAATTGGTGACATGGCTCAAAATCGTTCTCAATGGCTGGTGTAGATGCATCCACTCCTTGTGACTCATGATTTTCAATGAAACTGTTTTGTTCTTCGTTATTACTATTCCTTTGTCTCACACCTCTGTTTACTGTCTATATTATGCATTTCTCCTACTTTCTTCTATTGCTTTGTGTGCTACATGGAGTGTGGCGACTTGAACTGGCGCACATATGTGCAAAGTTCTATGCCGAAAACAGACAGACCTTCGAGTCATATTACTGTGACTAGGCCGTCTTTTGAACTAGTCAACGGAATCTAAATGTGAGTTCTTTATAGATCTCTTTATTAGATAGATTATTATCTTGTAAATATATGTATCTGTTTGTTTTTACTTTCTCAAGAACCAGTAACTAACTTGGAGTCTAACTTGATGTAATCAACCAACATATGGTTGCTAGTTTCTTTGTTGGTCATTTGAAAACAGGAGATGGTACTAATAACAATTCAAAGCGTGTTCAGTATTCGAACAAATGCGCAAAAATACCCGGTACACACCTGAACAACTTTCTGAGGCCTAAATTAAGACTGTTTGTTAGAAAGCTGAAGGCAGCGAGCCTAAACAATCCGGATTGCTCAAGCATATTTGAGCCAGAAATTGCATTGTAGGATAGATCTGTGAAAAAATACGTACACATGCTTAAAAGACCATATACAGGTAATCGATTTAAACATAAGGGGTTTTGTTTTGGTTGACAGCGATGACTGAGACCCACTTACTTATAGCCGTCTGAAAGTATTCATTATGACTTCTTTGGCAGGTAGTAAAAATAAAAGGGCTAAATAAAGGCCCTTAGGTAAGTGGAGCTATGCTTTTCGTTGGCTATATTAGAGTGGGTTCAATAAATGTGAGTGTGACACTAAATATAATGGAGTACCAAACTAAGGTATACTCTCTAGACACAAACAGGTAAAAATTGGAGACATACTGGTGCAAGAAACACTGTTAATATGCATGTGGTCTTAAAATCTATCCAGACCGAGGGCTACTATTGAACACAAAAAGCCATATTCGTAATAGTTTAACAAGATATACAGAATGAAACAGTTGTCTCTTGGAATCCTAGCTTACTAGAAAGCTTGGTTGAATAGCAAATAAGACTAACAGCAGCGGGTCAAATAATGTAATTTGCTTACATTATGGCAAAGAGTGGGACTGAGAGCATGCTAATATTGCCAGTAGCAAGCGTGTAACAACAGTGAGGTAGTCAGGCGAGGACACAGAACACTAGGCCGAAAAGCCCTTGACTGTTGGTTTGAGCTGTGTACAGAAGTGTAAGCTGCTGGAATAGTATATTCGCGATGCCAAAATCAGTGCCTGAAAAGTACTGATGATACGGTTCTCAAAAGTACAGAAGATGTGTTCACTCCTTTTTATTATTCATATCCTAAAACTGCTGACCAGTGTTTAATCAACCACATTTTTTACAGTACATATTCGTCCATTGCAGTTTCATAATATTTGTTCATTTTACAATTATGCATGCTTATTTGAAGTGCAGGAACTTGAACTGATGCATTTTTGTGCAAAACGTTCGGCGTTATTAAGTCAGAGACTCGATTACCTTTCCTTAATAAATAAACTAGGTGCGTCGGTGGCATAGCGGCTAGGACGCTCGCCGACCATGCACATGGTCCGGGGTTCGATCCCCGACCGACGCACTCCTTTACCTCGCTAAGCCAGATCTAAAGCTGGTGAAGAGGAAAGGTTGGGCATGAGGCTAGCAACCCCATCCTGTAAAAATAAACACTGCTACAGAAACTTCAAGCCTCTAGCTTGAAGCCCTATGTTCCACTAGGAACGAGAAGGAATAAAAATAAATAAACTAACAACAACGATGTTTTTGTGAGTTTCCGCAGGCTGAATAATCACTGAAAAGCTGAAAAGTAAATATATAACTGATCTGTTCTCAGGGGATCATCATTGAACACAGAAGTATCCATTATTCCTCGATTATTATCCCTTTCTGATGATGAGTATCCACCTGATTCAAGATATTAACGTTAATACACAGTTTAAAAGAAACATCCACTAAAATAAAAAAAGTGGTATACCTGTGATCTAATCTTATACGATTCTTCGACCAAAGATACAACATGAAGAAATTCTGGTGCAGTACCCGATTTGGCTTGAGATAATTTATTTTCTGCTTGCATTAATCTTTCATTGTATAATAACTCTTTGACTTGTTTAAATTCCCATTCCAACTCTGAAATCTCTGATTGTAATTCCCTTTTTAGAGATTCAACCTCTACATCTGTGAGCTCATCTCCAACACCTTCATTTCGAAAATCAGACTCCTGGAAATCTTCTTCATTAGAACGATCTTCATCTACTTGACAATAATCATTTAATTCTAAATTTTACAAACCTTCATCAGCCATAGCTGAATAACAGTGACTTGATAAATCTGATTTATAATTGAGAATTAATACAAAAAATCATAAAACATATGATGACAGCCAAGTCTATGTAGTTTGACAGTTGTGCTTTATTATGTTAGGCAGTAAGGTTATGATTCTCTTGAACTATAATTCATTGGCCAAATATTCTGATTGCTAACGAAGAATTCAAAAGAAAAGTGTTAGTTAGGCATGAATTTTATAAAATATTTCGATTATTTCCAGGATAATTATGTATGAATAATTGATTGAAATAAAGAAGTCACATCTCTCACCTATCTATGTATCATGCTTTTAACTACAGGCGGCACGAATTAGGATGTCAAGTCCAGGCCAAAATGGGAAAAGCAAGACAGACTTTCACTAACCTGAAATCAATATAGAAACTTGTTGCACTCATCATAAAGAAAGAGATTCAGATCTTCGATACTGATGTCAAGTCAGTGCTTCTTTATGGTTCAGAGAATATCAGCATGAGGCACCAAAAGCATTTTTAACAAGCTTCAGACATTTGTCGACAGGTGCCTTCGCTCCATACTGAAGATCAGATAGCTGTTGGAAACGATTAGCAACAGGGATCTCTGGGCGTGAACCAAGTAAGAACCTATTGCCTAAGATATATGCCAGAGAGAAACGCGATGGATCGGAAACACGGTGTGAAAACCGTCGAGAGACATCACGGGCCAAGTTCTCAATAGAAACTGAATAAAAAACGACGACCTGGGCGTAAGCCTGAGGATGACATGGTTGAGGTCATGTAAAGAAATGAAAGCAATCGTCAAGCCGTCTTAAAAGTGCTGCAGAGAGCAAGCAGGATGAAATGGAAATGTGCTATTGAAGCTGATGCTGCTGCTGGATTCAACATAGAACTTGGCACCGAAGTGCAGCAGTTCGAGTTGCCACGTTCCAAATAGCACACAAACGTAGACAAGAAGATGAGTGAAGCGAATCAACAGAGTTTTGACAAGTATAAGGGTGAAACAGAATGAGTAATGGTAGAAAGGAATATGAAAGATTACAGAGACTGAATACATCTGCGTAAGCCATTGACAATGATTTTGAGCCATGTCACCTATTGTCTCCAGCCATTGATTCTTAGAGTCCCGAGGGCGGGCCCCAACCCGGAAGTCTGCATCTCCCTACCTGACTCCGTTTAACTGTCAGGGATTTCATGGATTGATGCGATGTTTTTGTTTGACCACCACTTACTCTTTTCCAACCTGCATCCACCTATATCAGCTAGTAATGCCCGTCCGTCGGGGGAGGCTATGGTTAGGCCTGCGCAACACGCGACCTAGCCATCTCAATCTAGCTTCGTCGATTGATTTTCCCTCTTTGCCCAACACTCTGCGCCTAACGTCAACATTACTTACCTTATTATGCCATCTAACGTGAGAAAGAGATCGTAAACATCTATGATCAAACACAGACAACCTTTTCATGTCTTCAACTCGTATTGGCCATGTTTCAGAGCCATAGAGAAGGACGGAGCGAACCGCTGAGCAGTACACATGTCCCTTGGTTGTTAGCCGGATGTCACGCCTACGCCAGAGATGGTGTAAGTTAGCAAAAGCAGCCCGAGCTTATTGGATCCGTGCTGAGATTTCATCACCAATCGATCCGTTGGTGCTGATACAACTTCCCAAACAGGTGAAGTGGTAAACATGTTCTATCACTTCACTCCCTATCACTAAGCTAGGAGTTGACGTAGTCCAGTCCTGTAGCAGCATCTTACATTTTAAAGGGGCGAATCGCATGCCAAACATACGAAGATTGCTGCTAAAGGTGTTCAGAAGACTCTGCATTTTGTCAGCGTCCTCCCCTAACAGGACTATGTCGTCTGAGTATTCTAAGTCTATAAGATTATTCCCTGGTAACAAGTCGATTCCTAAGTCATTAAGTTCAGTTAAGGATACTTCCATTAGCATATCTATGATGAAGTTAAACAGAAAAGGGGAAAGTGGACGTGCTATTGAAGCCATATTTTCCAATCAAAACCCAGAGAAATAATAATCATAAAAGGTCCTACTATGTAAGAAGGTACTTCTTGTTCTTCCGATGTCAATATTTTACTACAGTTATAAAGCATAGCAGTCCAAAACAATGTAGGACTTAAATACAATACAGTAACTGTTAGGAATGCTGCAAGATGTGACATAGCAGCAATATACACTCATCAATATAAGTTTTAAATTGCATTTTAGGTTTATATGTAGATCTAGGGTACATTTGGTTTTATATAAACGCAGAGAAACGATAGAATCTCCGGAAAATCTTACGGAAGAAATAGTTATAACTAGTGTTTTGTTGACAGAAACAGTTAAACAATCTGCTGGTATATACTAATGGCTAAGAAGAGAAATTAGGAGCTACTGTACCAGTCAACGCTTTTCAGCCATGCCGAAGTGATCTAAAAACATACGTATTAGTACAGTGTGGACTGATTATATAAATGGTATGTGCTAAAAGGGAAAAATCGCTCGTTTTCTCTGGCTAAATGAGCGACCTAAACACAGAATTAAATCAAGTACTTACAATGTACGCAGTTCAACATAAATTTTGATTGTAGTTCCCTTTTGCATTTATATCAATTCAAACTGGCTGATAAACTGCCGATTTGTGTGGGTGATAGGCAGCTTTCCATACCACTCAACAATATATCACAGCTTCCAAATCCACATAAAATATCATAGCACATCACGATTCTGGCAGTGCAATTCGACGGAAACACATACGCAAGACTGTCAACTTTTACCTCGAAACTGCCCCCACTTTCTTTACTATAACTTATTGCTATATCTACATGCCTAGGGAAACAAGGATTACTTAATTACTGCAAACTAGATGCGTAAAAGTATACAATTTCATTACCTTAACTGATGTCACATGCTTACAGTTTAGTTTTAAATGAGCGTCTTCCAACTTTCTGGACCCTAAGGTTTTCGTTAGTGAGTTCAACTGACATCTCTGCGTCTCAGACTGACGGTGGATGACTTCATGGAGTGATGCAATGTTTAGTTTTGGCTGCCACTAACTCTCCTACATCTACTACTATGTCAAAACTGCCCGTTGAAAATGTGATAGTTCGGCGTGCATATCACAAATCTAAATCAATTAAATAGATTGAACTTTCCATTTCAACCACCGACTTACACTGACTACCAAAGATTGTACGGTTGGTTGAATTATTGTTTAATATGTTACTCTACCTAACGCCAGGAAGAAATCAACGGAATCTATGACGGGAACTTTATCTTCTTATAACTATTCTTAATGAACATCTTCCAGCTGAACAACAAGGTCGTCACATTTTCTTTAGTACAACAGATTAAAATCAGCTGTCGCTAAATAGTTAATTAATGGTTTCTAGAACACCTGGGATATTCATGGACTACTGTGACGTAAACACAACTGCCGGAACGCACTTATCAGCCTTCGCACTTAAAAGGCCGAGAAGCTGTGCAGTGCAATTGGAAACGAGACTATTCAAGGAATTCATAAATAACAGATGAAATTCGAAATGTATTTAGCTCAAAACACAAAGGTACAACTCAAAGTACAATTTTTTACATGAATCTTAAGAGCAAGACGTTCAATAGAATCCCCAACCTGATTACTCACACAAATTAATAGGATCAAAAAATTCGGAAGCAATAACAGACCACTTCTCTACATTGTTTTACATGAGCAGGCACCACCCGTAGCATCAGCTCCAGCTGTTCTAGAAGAAGATGGGTTAGGTTGGGTCTAAACTAACCCAAACATTGTACCGTCATCCCTAAGCAGAACAGACACAGAAATTAATGAACGCGGTGAATTTCCCTCGATTTTTCTAAAATGACTGGCAGATCACATAGCTGACCAAGCGAGTACTATCTTCAGGCTATACCTTTTAGACGAAGTGTCATGGGTGCAACCGGAAGAATGCAACAGAAGCCTTCATACATAAGGGAGGATCCAGGTACCAGTCTTACCAGCACCTTGATCAGGATGCTGAAAGGAGAAATCAAGAAAGCATATTCGGAAAGCAACTTCTAACACATCATGATTTTCTGTGATTACACAAAAGTCAGCAAAGATTTCAACAAGACACCGCATACAATAATGGTTACAAAATTGGAAAGCTTTTGAATGATGAGAGATTTGTACTACTGAATCAAAGAATTCCAGGGATAGAAAAGACAGTATCGGGGTTAACTCGAATATCTAACTGGACGACGGTAAGTAGTAGTGTGCTACAAGGTCCTGCGCTTAGGATCCTATTTTTTCTGTATGTCAACGAATCACCAGGCTTCAACAAGTCTGCTGTGGTTTTCTGCAGAGATGACCTAAAATTTTGAGACATCTGAGATGACAGAGACAGACATCGCAAGAGGACCTCAACAGATCCTTAGAATGGTCCAAAGAATGGACATTTTCCATCACCCTAACGAAGTGCGCATCTACACGCACGGTAAATACAACAGAGGGGGAATACCATTCATATCAATTCATGGATCTAGGTGTCATACTACATCATGGCCTAAAAACTAAGCCAGTCGCGCGACGGAATCTCGTAGTTTTAGATCCCCATGGCAATAAGCAGCGCCTTTACTAGAATCAACAGTGAAATGTTCACTATATATACATCCGGTGTGGTCAAAACTTGAAAACTAAATCCGAGTAGCTAACCACTGTTTCAAAAGACATATATTTTGATATGACCAATTTATCACATGAGTATGGGGTCAGCAGTTTAAATCTGTTTTTCTTATACTGTATACAGTATAAGAAAAAGATTTACAAGATATGTTAATGGACCTGACTTTCTCTCTCTTTGCCTTTCCACGGTACCGAAACATTTTGAAGAACATGGTGGCAGAGTTAAAACACTGGGAAGAAATACTGGTTCCCCCTTGATACTAAATATTGGAACGGACTGCCAGATGTGGTATGGTCTTGGCAAAACATTACTCAAACAGCAAAAACTACTAACACACTGTTATTTTCCAACCAAAAAGTTAAA